AATGTTGAACTGCTTGAAAAGGCTAAAATCCTACATAACCATTTGGATACCAGCCAAGACGCCTCAGATCTCTTCAACAACATCTGCAAGGAAGTTGTCGTGGGAAGGTTCTATTTTGAAAAAACATGTGAGGACGCTGGCAATCACTGTTGTAATCTTTGAGCTTTTGCACCATCTTTTCTCTCTCTTTTCCTTGTGTTTACCTGATGTTTTCAAAGTGCTTTGAGGCCTAAAATATGTGATTTAAAGTCACAAAAAAGAGGAGGGGTTAGCCACCATTCCTTAGGCTTGTTGGTTGGTTGAAACTCCTTGATTTTGCTCCACTTTTGCTCACTTTTTCCACCTCTGAAACTTGATTTTCTACACTATTTTTGTATTGTTTCAGTGCTTTTTAATGTGTTAAATTATGCTTTGAATATTATACTTTTGTTGTTGTAAGTCCTCATGAATTTGGTGTATAGGCCATAGCTTCCAATCCATTTGAGTTGATAGTCTTTTTTTTCTTTCTTTTTATATAGCTTTCATGTATATATTCACACCATTGTAATCATCCACATTTTCATTAGCACTCTGCAACCTTCCTCATTTCTTTGTTTCTTTTGATTAAGAGTTGTGTCAAACAAAAGATTGCCACTCAAGGCATAAGAAAGAGACCCCTCATGGTAAATAGTTTAATCTCTTCGGAGGTTCATTACCAGGGCATTACATATCTCTTATGCTATGCATGATCTCTTGTTTGACACCTCCCTTAATTGTCGATGCATTACTTCTAAGGGACTAATTTTCTAGTTAGACCCCTAGAAATCACAAAGGAAAGAGTCATTATAGCTCATTATTGGATTTGGATTTGGAATCCTTATCGCCAGTTTCGGGATTGACTCCAAATTCATTATCGCTTGTAAATGAGTTTGATTCCTCCTTTGTAGTTTCCCCCATAGAAAAGGGCTAGAAAAGCTCATTTCTCGGGTCAAGTCATCTTGTTATTCTTTATTGCTTTGGACTTAGTGGAAATAATCATCACCTTTGGACAAAAAGGAAGAAAATATAAGAAAAATGGAAAGGTAAAGTAAAAAATCTAAAAAAATTGAAGTAAAAGAGGTAAAAGATAATAAAATTTGGTTAGGTTTAGTCGGACGTTATACTAAACCGATTGCATCTTGAATCATCGCATACTATTTCAATGATGTTTGATGATTCATGAAGCAAGTCTACCTCCTCCCTTGAGGTAACTCCATGATAGGGAGAAGGTATTCTTTATCTTTGGTTCCATTTTATTGAGCTCTTGTCCTATCATTTCTAATATCATCACGCAAAAAATTTGCGATAATTGATGATTTGATAATCGAATCTATTCCTCTCTTGATCATCTTCATGATAGAGAAGGGCAGAGAGGATAAACATTCTTGAAAACACTTTGTTTTTGTTCTGTTTCAACTTTGTTGTAGCAAGGTATTCCCCAGAAGTAGTGGCCGATCGGCCATCATTATGTACAACCGATCACTCTCTTAGGTCGGCCGGCCACCCACCTATTTTGTACATGCAGTGGCATTTTTATAACAAAACAGAGTAGAATTTGAGGCCAAAATAGAATAATTTTCTGATTGCAGACAGAGCATATTCTGGTAGCAAACAGAGAGGTTTCCGGAGGATGTTCTTGGTTGTATGCATGCGGTTCCTCGCCTCCCATTTGAATCCATTAGATTAATAACTTTTAAATTCGTATGTTGTAATTTAATTAGTTGCTTTGCTTTCGTTTGGAATTGTAATAATTAATTAATTTAGTTTATTCAATTGTGTTGTAATAATTAGTTAATTAGGACATTCATTCGGACCCTCTTGAGGGCAAATTTGTAATATTTGTATGTCTTTTAACTCCCATTTCTTTCTCCCTTTCACTTAAATGTTTACCGTAGTAGTATCATGTTTTTGTTTCATATCATTGCCATGTGTTGTATCCATTTTTGCATACATTAAGTTTGGTTCATCATTCTAATATTATTATCATTTCCTACTTGCTTGAATACGTGCGTTGCGCATGCTTTGAGTTGATCCATATGACATGTTAAAAAATCTGAACTTAGTAGTTACATTTTGTATGTGTTGCATTAGTCACCTTGCATATTTAGGACTATGCATTTTTCTAATTATTTTATTTTCTTTGGCTTGCCTCGGTTGAGTACTAGGTGAGCATTTTTGCTTTAGCATATTACATGTGTGTTTGTGTTGTCTTATCAAGCATACTACCATGAGGCTAAGTGTTTATTTGAAATTTCTCTTTGAATACCTGTGGATGAAGGCTATTTCGTTTAGATTGGAATGATTTTGATTAATGTACATATGAGCTTACTGTTCATTCAAGTAGCATATATTCAAAACTCTTTTCAAACAAATATGAAATCAAAGCATTCCAAAGTAAGTGACGTGATTTATACTTGTGTGCCTCACATAGTAATGTTAGTATAATAATTAGAACATGAGTATATAATGTATATAAAATTCACATCATGATTAGTAGATGCCGATTTTTGATCGGATGAGTGGGGTGCTCAATTCATGACCTTCTGCTCTTATACCTAAGTTCCCGAGCCAAGACACTTTGGTTATGACAGACAAGTAGCCTTTGGCACGAGTCATGAGTTTCTTAAATTTCCTAAAATATTTAGGTGACAACTCTAAAATCTGGCAATGCAATCCATTTTTGGCATCTCTGATGATTAATTAATTTTCTAAGATTTATCGGAATGAGTATATAATGTACATAAAATTCACATCATGATTAGTAGAGGCCAATTTTTGAGCGGATGAGTGGGGTGCTCAATTCATGACCTTCTGCTCTTATACCTAAGTTCCCGAGCCAAGAAACTTTGGTTATGACAGACAAGTAGCCTTTGGCACGAGTCATGAGTTTCTTAAATTTCCTAAAATATTTAGGTGACAACTCTAAAATCTGGCAATGCAATCCATTTTTGGCATCTCTGATGATTAATTAATTTTCTAAGATTTATCGGATTTTGACTCTCGTTTGTATTTTTCTGTTTTAGATTGCATTTGTAAAACTATATTCAAAACCACGAGAGTCTGAACTATAAGGCGATCGAATCCGAGAAGACTAAACCCCTCTGAAAAGTACAAAAAACCAGCTACAGCCCCCTTCTATTACCCCTCATTTTTCGTTGCTACTCTATTATAAAAAAAAATAATAATAATAATAATTTGCAACGGCAAGTAAATTTTTTGTGATATTTGAAACCGTCACAAAAGAACGGATATTTAGGGCTGGTTTGGCATCACCTAAATAATTTAAAAGGTCAAAAAGTCATTAAAAAAACAAAAAAAATTCATACTATTTACCTCTTTTTTGGTGAGAAATCTGTCAATTGAAAAAAAAAAAAAAACAGTGCTGCACAAAATTATGCAGTCACAACTTCGTAAGTCAAAAAGAAAACGTGGCACAGTTATAGCCACACATTCCAATAAAATAAAAGATAAAAAAAAAATTGAAACGAGATAGAAACTGTGCAGCGCAGCATTGCTGCTTGTGTCAGCGAGGGTAATTTCATAATTTTACAATTTTGTACAATATTTTAATACACATTTTTTCATAAAAAATCAAAAAATTATCTCAAAGAATCAATCCGTGAGAGATGAATCGATCCGTTGAGACTGTTTAGAGAGAGAGTGAGAGAGAACGAGACAGACTAATGAGTGAGTGAGAGGTTAGGGCTACAAAATGTATTTATATTTGATATTCACCGCTCGCCCATTGGAGAGAGAGAGACATTCGAAGTCGTTTTAAAGCGCCTTTGGTTACCGAGACGGCGCCGTTTTGATTTTAAAAAAAGCGACGTTCGAAAAACGCCGTTAAATACTATCAAACTGTGGCGTTTAATAAAACGCCGTTAAAAGAATGTCGCCAAAACTCATTTTTCTTGTAGTGACGACACCTTAGTATCACCCTTTTCCAAACTTTGGTGGTTGAATGAAAAGACTTGGCTTTTAACAATAGGCGACAAAACTTTGGTGGTTGAACGAAATAACTGGACTTTCACGTTGATGGGTTGATTTTTCGCATTGAGAAACGGGTGTTTTAAAATTATTTTTTTAGATGTGCTTTCTAAATTTAATTATATATAAAAAAATAATTAATTAATTATTAAAAAAAGATATAAGAGAGAATGTTGTTAAGTATTATAAGTCAACTATGAATATATGTTTCCACAATTGATCTTGTGATAATTAGGGTTATTTTTATAAAAATGGATAGATTATCAATAGATTTTAATAATTAGACTTAGGTTAAGTTTGGTAAGTTGTCAAAAAGTTACTCAAAAAGTTAAAAAGTTATCATTATTCACCAAAAGTCAAAAATTACGGCTGCACAATTTCCAATCCTAATTTTTTCCTACACACTAATTTATACAATTTTTTAATACACATTTTTCCATAAAAAGTCAAAAAGTTAACCCAAACATCCATATTTTTTTCTCAATTTTTTAGTCCTAAAAGACAAAAAATGTACTTATTTAGAACCCTCCAAACAATCCCTTAATCTTCATCAATTTCTATCAATTCGTTGCTGAAAGTTAGTCCTAATAGAATAATCGCTGAAACAAACTTTTTGTTATAATTTCCTAAATTTGTTGCTAAAATTGATAATTAACAACATTTGTTATTGATAGAGTGTGTTTTTTCCTTTTAACAATGGGGTCAAATTTTGATCCAATTATTATTTTTATTTTATTTTTACCATGGTTAATAGTATTTTTAATTTTTTTTTAATAATTTAAAACAGTTGCGGACGTCACATGCTTACATGGGATGTTGCCCCTCAGTGGGAATGACGTCTATCACCTTCCCTGTTTTTTGATTAATTCAAAATATTATATATTTTTTTTAATCTTGCTCTTACAGGCTCTCACGTGAAGGTGGGGTGCGGGGTCAGCACTGTTGCCCATAAATTGATCTAGACAGAGGACATCTCTGTATATAAGACAACCGAGCAACGAAACTTTAGTTACAACTTACAAGCCAATGTCTGGGTGGTGTTTGGAACCTAGGTTCCGGATTTTTTTCTCATTTTTTTTCACTAAAAAATAAATTTTTTACAAAATCAAAAAAACACATTCAAACAAAATATCACATTCAACTCCATAATCATTTCACTTTTTCTCTCACAAACATCACATCCAACCACATAGAAACCCAATTATCTTTCCAAACACCAAAATTTTTTTATCTAATAAAAACCTATAACTAAAAAAACCTACATAAAAATCCACTTCCCGAACACCATGTGTGCTAAATTGTGGCCACCAAAAACTCGCATTCCAGTTGTAGCAGGTAAGAATTTTCTTTCCAAGGCACCATAGAATTTCATTGGGTTACTTAAACTAACAACTGTACCTTAGGCCTTGTTTCCGACTAAATTATTTTAGTAATTTTTTAATTTTTTTGATTAAAATATAAGCTAAAAAAAATTAGTATGTTTGGGATAACTTATTAACTTTTTACGAAAAGATATGTAAAAAGTAGAGAGAAAAGAGAATCTTTGACTTTTTAATATAAATTGTTGACTTTTTGATTTTTTTAATAACTTTTTGATTTTTAGACTAAAATAGCTACTTACTAAACGAGGCCTAAGTATTGTTTTACTATTTTTATGAATTTGTTTATATTGATTCCATCAACTATTTTGTATAAATATACTCTAATCCTTTCAGTGGGGTTTGTAAAAAGTGAAAGTGATTTTTCTTTACAGTTGAAGAGTCGTAAATGGTAAAAGTGATTTTTTTGTATAGTTGAAAAGTCAAAATGTACAAATTTATAAATAAAAAAATAAAATTATATTCACTAATAATTAAGAAAATCTTCATGTAAATAATCCGAATTCCATTCAATCCAGGAGATGTACTTTTCTTTAATCGTTTTGAGTTCTCTATTAGCTTTTAAACCTTTGTTTGAGAAGTAGATTGACTTTTTGGCTGTTTGGTTTTTTCAGCTATTTTAGCCTAGGGCAAAAAAACTTAGTTTTGGAAGGATTTTTGACTTTTTTGATTTTTTTATAAGAGAAAGAATGTAATGATTATGAGTTAGATATGATATTTTGTCTTATTAAGCTAAAAAATTTATTTTATTTTTTGTAGCTAAAATAACTTAAAAAGCCTCAATTTTGCCTTCCCAAATGAAGACAAATGTTCCATTCAATCCAAGAGATGTACTTTTCTTTAATCGTTTTGAGTTCTCTATTAGCTTTTAAACCTTCGTTTGAGAAGTAGATTGACTTTTTGGTTGTTTGGTTTTTTCAGTTATTTTAGCCTAGGGCAAAAAAACTTAGTTTTGGAAGGATTTTTGACTTTTTTGATTTTTTTATAAGAGAAAGAATGTAATGATTATGAGTTAGATATGATATTTTGTCTTATTAAGCTAAAAAATTTATTTTATTTTTTGTAGCTAAAATAACTTAAAAAGCCTCAATTTTGCCTTCCCAAATGAAGACAAATGGTGTAGAGGATTTTTCAATCTTCTCCGCTGGCATTGAGTGCCTCATATGATATTTTGGCAGTTAAAAATTAATTTATTGACTTTTTGATTTTTTTTCTTTTAAGTTATATCATCTTTTTATTTTTTTATACGTTTTTTTTAAAAGAATTCAAAAAAATCCAAATATTTAATTTTTAACTTACTTTCCAAAATAAACCATGGTGATGGATTGTAGCCTTGGAATTCGGTCTTTGAGACCAGATTGGTATATTTTCTTTCTATGCGTTTACAAATTGGTTTTTGGTTTATTTATCTTAAATTCAAATTTGAATTTGATTGTTATGTTTGAGTTTACTGTTCAAAAAATAGTTTGGACTCATGGGACTAATTACGGATTCCATTTTGATTATCTTAACCATTTAGTTTATATAGTTCTCGTGCATATTATTCATGAAAAAATTAAGTTAATTCAATAATTGTAGACATTTTATTTTAGACAAAAATTAATATTTTGTGTTAAAAAACACATTTATCGTGCACTTTTTTTTGGACAAACATAATAAAATAAAAATGTTACGATTATGAGATAGAATTAATTTTTTTTAATAAAGATATACTCGGGGGATCCTAACGTGACATTTTAAGTTCAAATTGAAACATGAGAGAAGCCCAACTCTTACCATTTCTAAAAGTTAATAATATGTTTGAGAATAATTTTATGTAGTTGTATCGAAAATAATAAATTAATGCATGCAAGAAAAAACACATTTGACGACTAAATTTTTAGTCGCCAAAAGTCAGGTTTTAAGTTTTCCGGACTAAATTTTTTAGTCGCTGGCTTGGTCGCTGGAAAACTGTCGCGAAAGGTATTGGCGACAAACAAACTTTTAGTCGTCCAAAAATCAAGTCTGTAGCGATTAAAATTTTCGTCGCCAAAGCTCATTTATATTTTTTAAATTATACATTTGGCGACTAAAAATTTGGTCGTCAATAGTGAATTATTTTTTTTTTAATTTATATATTTGCCGACTATTTTTTTCGTCGCCAATACTGAAGCTTTTGGCGACCACCCGTTTTAGTCGCCAAAAGCTTATTTCAGGAAAAAATAAAAATTACCCTCTGCTCTTTCCAAGTTTTGAACCACCAACCTTCTCCATTCTAAACATCTACCAACACACTCTCTCCACTATGCCACAATAATACCACATGAATATATATGCAAAATATATTATTTATATAGTATATTGGCCCGGATTAATATTAACATATATATATAAACATAATTATTTTTATTCAATATAATTTATGTAAAAAATAAATTATTTATTTAAAAAAAAAGGAGCCACTTTTGGCGGCTAAATTTTTTTTTAGTCGCCAAAAACCTTAGTTTTGGCTACTACCAATAATTTAGTCGCTAAAAAAATTAATTTCCGCCTAAAAATCCATATAATCGGCGACTAAACTGATTTTTAGTCGCCAAAGCCACCACTTTTGCCTACTAAACTCAATTTTAGTCACCAATTGTCTACTTTTAGCTACTAAATTTTTTTTAGTAGCCAAAAACCTTTACTTTTGGCTACAAAATTTTTTTTTGTCCGTAAAACACCTACAATCGGCGACCAAACCATTTTTTAGTCGCCAAAACCTATGCTTTTGGCTACTAATTTCTTTTAGTCGCCAAAAACCTTCACTTTTGGCTACTAAAATTGTTTAGTCGCTAAAACCCATATAATCAGCGATTAAACTGATTTTTAGTCGCCAATTGTCCTACTTTCAGCGACGAAATTTACATTTTTGGTCGCTAAAACTGCTTTTTGTTGTAGTGGCAATAAATTAATGCAATATTCGTAACAATTATATAACCAACTAGGCCTAGCCTCGTTGGCCACCATGCCTTCCTTAGGGATTAGTCCCAATGAGGTCATAAGTTCAATTCCCCTTAGGGAGTTGAATTAAGGGGGTGCAAGCACTTAGGTGTTTTGCTAAAGGCGGGGAGATTTTCTCCCATAGGTGTTAATCTAATAACTAACATTTGCCGATCAAAAAAAAAAAAAAAAGTGTAACAGTTATATCATGTGATGGAATGATTATTTAATAAAGAATTTTAATTTGCATTATGGATTTGTTACATTGTTGAATTAGTTGGAGATATATATATATATATATATCATTACAACAAATAAAAGTTTTAGGGAACAACTCACATGTGCCTTGCTAATGAATATCTTAACTATCTTAATAGTTTCACAAACTTTTAATATCTTAATTAGTGAATATTAAGTTTAAATGTCAATGATACTATACTACCATATTGTATCATCACAAACGAATAGTTCATTGATATGTATATTTTTATATTTTTTAAAGTTAAAAAAAAAAATAGATTGAGATTTCAAGCTTTAAGGAAGTCACAACATCATATATATATATATATATATAGTGTTTTTCTTTTTCTTATGTGACACATTTTAAAAACTTACTTTTTTTATAAAAAAAAAATTATATCAGCATGCTTTTTCTATTTACATATAAAATTTTATACAAATTCAACTTCAATTATAATAACTAATTTTATACGGACTCTATTTGAGAAAAAATTATTTTCATATATTTTTCATTGTGTGTTTAGTTTTGTCGTTGTCAAATTTCTTTTATATTGTTGATATTTTAATTTAATTATTATCATATTTAAAAAAAATATCTCAATATACAAATAAATAAATAAATAAATAAGACAGAATGTGCTTAATTATGCGCATTGCAAAGATCAAATTAATTTTCTTTTATATTTTTTATTTTTTTCTATCTTATTGATGTCTTAATATTAATTTATATTTAATTTTTTTAATTTAACATGAAATTATTTATTATCAAATATTTAGATTTAATATAAATTTTATATACCACAATATGTATGAATAATTCAAAAAGATTATTAAGGAAAAAAATCAATACTCTACATATTTAATTTATATATTTTCTTCTTAATCCAATCACAACATATTTATATTTAGTCTTTAAAATAAATTTTGTGCAGTTCTATTTCTACATATTTTTATTTTCTAAATAAATATAACAATAATATTTAAATTAAATAATTAGAATTACTTTTAGTTTTATATTATTAATTATCTTTCTAATTTAACTATTATTTTTAATATGTAATTTTATAATTTAATATATATCATATAAAATCATTATATAATAATTACATTTCTATAGAACAATAGAATTAAAATTATCAAAATAAATAAATGATTTAATTAAAATATTAAGACTCAAAATTAATTTTTTATTTTAAAAATAAATTTACATGCATCAGACGGTTATCTACTAATTTTATTTATATTAAATAATATTATAGATATATTTTTGTGAAAGGGAATTGTATATATTTTTGTGCATAAATCCTCAACAGGCAAGGAATGTGCACCACGGTTGCTGGATTGCATAAAACGGCTTATAAAAGTACAACCGGCTAAAAGACTTCCACGTAAGCCCTACGACGACAACTTTTTTGTCGAATCTGAAGCGGAGGACACTGCTAGAAATAGGTCCGATTTGGGTAAGACTAATAATTGAAAGTTTTTTTTATTTTTTTATTTCTTTTTAATGGTCATTCTAAACTATGCACGAGGGCTAGTCTAGTTGTTAAGGGTCCATGCATCTGACAATGACATCAAGAGTTTAAGTTTTAACAACACTGGTGCAGATCCCAGCTGGGGTGACCCCCACAATCCCTCACATACACATGGGGCACAAAGAGTAAAAGAAAACAAAAAAAAAAAATTGTTGGACCAATCAACACCCATTGGGGTGCTGGGATCTCCCCCAGTGAGGGTCTCTCCCATTTTTCAAGTTTTAATTTTTCAATTATGTTGGGGACCTCCAGTAGAGTGTGACCCCTAGTTTTAAATCGCGGTATCAGATAACGTAACGGTATCGATCGCGGAGTATCGGTATCGGTAGTATCGGCCGGTACGTATCGGGAATCGGGTGTCGTGGCCGTGAAATTTTAGAAATCATTAGCAATCCCTATAAAACTCAATTTTATGCATTTTTGGGACTCTTTTAGCCTTAATTTGTCAATTATAACTTTTAATTATCTACAATAACAATTTTCAATTAACAAATATTGTAATTCTAATTTACTTAGTAACAATAATATATTTAAAATAAAAATAAAAATCTTCCCATTTTTCAAGTTTTAATTTTTCAATCATGCTGGGATCCTCAGTAGGAATGACTCCCAATACCCCCACCTCTACGTGAGAGACTGTAAGTGAAACAAAAAAAAAATATATGGACCAATAAAAAAATAGTGGAGAGTGGTGGAGGTCACCCCCATTGGAGGTCTGGGACATTTTCCTTAATTTTTTTGATTCGTCTGGTCGAATTTAACGTAAAAGTTTAAGGTTGGTGTTTGATAGAGTTTTAAAATTATAATTTAAGAATAGAATTGTATTTTGAGTTTATGAGTTTTGGAATTATAATTTCAAAAGAAAAAAATTTGTTTGGTTATGAATTTTAAAAAGATTTTTTAATTAAATTTTGAATTGAGTTTTGAATTTTTAATGTGACATATGAAATATAAAAATTTATTTGGTTATAAGTTTTGAAAAGAGTTTTCAAAATTTAATTCAAAAGTTTATAACTCATAACCAAACACACGATTCAAAACTCTATTAAAAATTCTATTCAAAATTTATAATCAAACTCAAGATACAACTCTATTCTAAAATCATAATTTTAAAGCTCTACCAAACGCAACCATAATTTCTTTTGAAAACTTATACTAAAGTACAATTTTTCTTAAAGATAACACCGAAAATAAAATGGGCGACATATATTTTTTTCAATACTTTTCTGTATTTTTTTATGTGCATTTATGAAATTGAAAGTTTACAGTCCTCAAAGCCTTAAATCAAAATTTACAACAGAGAATCTCTTAACAAAGACAAAAACACCAATTTCTCTCTCTCTCTCTCTCTCTCTCTCTCTCTAGAAATACCTCAAAAACCCAGCCAAGTGTTTAAGAAGGCATCTTGAGCCTCATCTCATCCTCTTTCAAATTGGAACCCAAACCTGGCTATGGAGATCTCAGGAAAGCTTCTAAAGTTCAAATTCTACATCTTGTTCGCCATGGCTCTCTCTCTCATGATTTTCTCTGTCATCTACCTAGCTTCCAAATTTCTCGACATCCTAGCCTACTTTTGGCCCTTATTTCTCATCTTATCTTATGTACATGTTGTTTCTTACTTGCCCAACATTTCGTCCCATATAACATCGCTGGTCTAAATAGTCATTCTATAGAACGTTCTCTTTTAGTCTAGTGGGTACTCGTTTATCGTACAGTACTCCAGATGCACTCCTCCACCTAAGTCACTCCGCCTTAATTCTAAGGACCACATCCGCTTCAATCTCTCCAGTCGTTGTGATAATGTTCTCTCTTAAGTAGCAAAAATGTTCACTCTTAAATAGTTTTTGATCCTCAATCTTCACTTATCATCTGCTTCTATTGTGATTGTTACTAAAATTACACTCTATATACTATGTCTTAGTTCTGCCTATCCTAAATCCTTTAGATTCAAATATTTTTCTCCAAATCTTTAACTTAGTGTTAACTTCTTCTGTAGTCTCATCCACTAATACGACATTATTATAAAAATATTGTATGTTATTTATCTTATAAAATCTTATTATTATAGACCTTAAACTAAAAACCCTTATAATAAAAACCAAACATGCACTTTGAATTGTTTGTTTAACAAGCACAAATAAGATAATGTGATGTACAGAATACAAAAAAAAAAAAAAAATTAATGCAACGGTGAAACCATGTTATCGGTATCACTATCCAATAATTTTTCAACATTTACCTTCCTTGCATATATGACAAGGTAGTTTTAGCTAAAAAGCAGAGATTCATTCCTTCTATATAGAATTTATTATATATTTATTGATGGTAATATAGAATTTATTGTTTATTTATTGATGATATTATATTACCGGTATCACTATTGCCTTGAATTTTTACTCGTGATGTTCAGTGAGATAAAACGGTAGTAAAGAAAATTAAGTGGTATATAACATGCTTTGGCTAATAACAAACCATTGACACAGGTCGTGACCAAGCGTCTTCTGAGCAAGCGACAACTTGTATTTATAAGGTCCCTGAGGAGCTTCGTACACTAAAAGAGAGTGCGTATAAACCGCGTGTTGTTTCTATCGGACCAATTCACAGCAATGACAAACGTCTTGATGCAATGGAGCAGATCAAATTGAGTTACAAAGAATCATTTTGTTCCAAGTACATGTCCGAAACACAAAAGCAACGCTGTTTGACTGCCATGGAACAACCTCAATTTGAAGCCAGTGTAAGAAAGTGCTATGCAGACAAAATTGAACTCACAAAAAAAGAAAAGCAGCAGAATGGTTCTTCTAAAATCCTAGCTCAGATGATGTTTAATGATGGTTGCTTCATAATTGAACTTCTGTTCAGGTCCTACTTGGCCAAAAAAGAACCTGAAAAAGCAAAAGAAAAGAAAAAGAAAAACAATGGTGACCCAATTTTCGACAGCCCCATAAGGCTCCGTGCCATCCGACATGACTTGCTACTGCTAGAGAACCAGATTCCCTTCTTTGTTCTTGAAAAATTGTTGAAGTTTGCTGTGCCAAGTATCCCAGATCCTTCTTTAAACAAACGTTATCTTATTCGGTGTGTGCTTTCATTCTTTGGCAATCTTTTCAGACACGGAGATGATACACTTGAAAAGAAGGGTGACCCCCATGATTATCATATCCTCGATGTTTTACACAAGTGCTACCTTCCTGATCCTTCACCGGAAGAGGAAAACGATAAAACCAGATCCAGATTCCCATCTGCATCAGAACTTGACTTGGCAGGAGTACAATTCAAGAATCGTGATGGAGAAGACCTATTCGACGTTGAATTCGTTAAACCTCCAGGCCCTTTAGGGTGCTGTCGTAGAGCTCAGTTTGAAATACCTACTTTGTCAATTCGCGATGACACTGAGCCATTATTACGAAACCTCATTGCTTTCGAGCAATGTTGCCCTAATGTTCCACGTCACATCTCTTCGTATGGCTTCCTTATGGATACACTCATCAACTCTGCTCACGATGTTGAACTGCTTGAAAAGGCTGAAATCCTACAAAACTATTTGGGTACCAGCCAAGACATCGCAGATCTCTTCAACAACATCTGCAAGGAAGTTGTCGTGGGAAGGTTCTATTTTGAAAAAACATGTGAGGACGCTCGCAATCACTGTCGCAAACTGTGTCCAAGATTTATGGCATCGCTCAGACGCGATTACTTTGCTAATCCATGGACAGGCATAGCTGTTGTTGCTGCCGTTACCATATTTGGCCTCACAATCGTGCAAACAACTTACACAGTCCTCCCCTATTACACGAAGAAATGAGTGTCTGGATAATCACTACTATTTAGCAAATATTTAGTGATTATATGTTTGTATGTATGAATAATAATCCTGTAGCTAAAATTAAATGGAGTTGTTTTCGCGAAGAAATGGCTCATGTATATGTTTCTCATCTTGGAGTGATGGAGGGGCTGGCGTAGCGGGGAAATATTGGGGTATTAGGGGCAGTGCAAGATGGGATTTAGGGTTTGAATGATTAAGAGTAGTAGTTGAATTTGAATTTCATGATAGAATGAAGTTATAACAATATGGGAGTGTAAAGAATAAATATGGTTGTTATTAACAACCACCTTGCCTTTTCCTATTATTAGGAGTGTGTATAATAATATTTGCCTTAAGTTTTTATGATTGATTCATTGTAAATCATCTTAAATTGTGCTAGATTCAATAAGAATATTGCACAAACATGAAGATTATTTTCTAAACAAGCTATTATTTAATTGTAAGCTTGACTTTCCCAATTTTCAAATTTTTCTTTTTCTTTCCCCTTCTTTTTGCACTTGTGCTCTTCCTCTGCTTAAATTTGCTACTTTTTTTATTTTTTATTTTTTGAATCTTCTGTAGTTTGAAGTTTTAAAAAACAAAATACGGAAAGAAAAATGATGCAGATCACTAACTAGTGGTTGCTCTAATGATGTAGCAGTAGGTCCCATCCACTGTCACATGTATTTTGTGTCATAGTTTTGTTTTTGTTGTTTTTTTTTTTTTGCTTTCCACATCATTAGTGATGGTGTTAGTAGTAGGAATTTAGTGGTCTGTAGCATTGTTGATACGGAAATGCTGATTCTGTAGTTATCATCATTCTTCCAGACAAGGTTTTGTGACCAGAGTGTCATTTACTTGAAGCCTATAAGCAAATAAATTTTCTTTTATGGATGTGCTTCAGCTGAACAGCCAGTGCCCTTTATCAGTTCTTTCATAAATTTTCTTTTGTTTTTAAAAAGCAAAAGCATAAGGCGAGGGGTTTTACCCTTGTTGAGGTGAGACATAAGCTTTTTGAAATTTAAATTTTTTAATTTTTATAAAATAAAAAATTAACTAAATGCAGCATAAAAAAAGTTTTAAAAAAATAATAATTGGCAAATAAAATTCATAAAAGTCATTCTAAGCATAAAACTAAAATAAATTAATAAATTCAAGTATTATAAAAGCTTTCTAAGTCATTCTCATTAATATTATAATAAAAATAAACAAGAAAATAATAATAACAATTATAATAATAAAGAAGAAGAAAACAAGATAAATCAGAATAATAATAAATTAAAAATAACACTAAGAGAAAATTGTTAAAAAGTCCAAAATAAGGAGGGTATAAGGCAATAGATTCAGTGGATATTTTTTATTTGTGACAGATCCACCCTTTGTGAAATAATTTGGTGAGAAGTCCTTTCGTTGATTTTGGAGGACATTTTATTTCTAATTTTACTACTTAGTTTATCTGTTCACTTTTCGTTGACTATCTGTTCAAATTTTTTTTCTATCTATTCAATTTTTTCCTCTTATCTGTTTCAAATTTTGCTATTTATTAAAATTTATCATATGATCTGTTGAATTTTTATACCTCTCTTTTTTCTGTCTCTTTCTATCTATTGAAATTCTCATTTTTAACTTATATATTTGTTGGAATATCTATCTGTTGAAATTCCTTATCCATTCAAATATATGTCTAAATTTTATTATCTATTTAAAAAAAATTATGTGTTTAATTTTTGGGCGAACTTCACTTTACCCCCTATGGTTTAGGCCGGGTGCAGTTTGCTCCCCCGACATTCAGAAATCACCATATAACCCACATGTGGTTTGTGGACCAAAACGTACCATTAACTTTTCCATCTAAGTTAACTAGCAGTGACATTGATGCGCTGATTTGGTGAGTAAGCTATTGTTTAAGACATAAATACCCTTTTCATATCTTCAATTTTACAAAAGAATGCCACTTTTCTTTCTCTCAAATTTGTCTTTTTTTTTTTTGATACAGATCTTTCTCTCTCTGTTCTTTTTCTCTAATTTTTTTTTTAAATAGATCAACATAAAACTATCCCAATTTCATGTGTAGAGACCAAAATGAGATTTAACCAAAAGTGTAGAGGATTGACTGTCATGATTTTATTTTTTTTTTTATCAGCAAAAGAAAAGCTTTATTGATGAAAAAAGCACAATACACGCAAAATTTTTACATCAATAAAACAGGAAAATGCACAAAGCATCATAGCTAACCTCAACAATCCCAACTAGGATGGCACCATAAAGGAAGCACAATCATTTGCTAGCACTTGACCTAAGATTGGAAAGATACCAATCAAAAGCACCAAATAAAAAGAAACAAAAACAACAAAACAATAATAATACAGCACCGACACAAAACTATGATCTACCAAGCCAAAACAGCAAAAACACCAACAACAATACTACAGCAACAACCCCTCTTTAGCAGCACCAGACCAGTTAGCTACCAATAGCATTAGCCACATCTTTGCACATCATAACCTTGGCACACACCAACAAATCTCCTCTAAGCAACATCTCCTTGAATCTACACAGCAAGACCATCCTCATAGCATGAACTATACACCAGCACACTCTTCTAGTAGCTTACAAACAACTTCTGACCTACTTCAAATTTGCAACAACATCATGCATTGAGTAGGTAACACCCTTCATATTAGCCTTAACCCATAGAGCAATTCTGACTTTCACCAACTCCCCAAATCCTGCAAGATCAGCTTTACCTTCCTTAAATAGACACTCATTTCTCAGTTTCCAAACAAACCACAGCATTGCCAAAGGGACAACCTTCCAAATCTTTAACTCCTTCTTCCTCTATTTCATTCCAAACCACCAATTCAACAACGCCTCCACAAAACTAGGTGTTACCCATTTTACCTCACATCAATTCACCAAGACAGACCATACATTCTAGATCAAAGGGCATAACAGCAACACATGATTAGCTGTTTTCACATCTGCCTTACAAAACACACACGGAGAACTAACATTATCATTCAATACTCCAATCCAATGCATAAACTCTGTAGACTTTATCCTCCCTCTCCAAGCTAACCAACTGAAAAATTGAACCTTTGGGGGTGCTGAATTTTTCCACAGAACCTTTGAAATATTAAGCATTGGCCCTTTAGCTGCCTCCATCCTTTGCCATACCGAAGCCACAGAGAACACTCCTAAACTATTTGCCAGCCATGAACAAGAATCCTCAGTTGTATGATTCAGAATAGGTGCCTCTGATAAGAGTAAAGTAAGTCTTTGAACCTCATCTTCCTCCAAAGCTAACAGTGGTCGTCTAAACTCTGGCTTCCAATTTGTGTCCTGCAATTTCCTTTGACTGTAGCGAGGTCCCCCCTCGCGGACGTGCTACAGTATGATTCAGAATAGGTGCCTCTGATAAGAGTAAAGTAAGTCTTTGAACCTCATCTTCCTCCAAAGCTAACAGTGGTCGTCTAAACTCTGGCTTCCAATTTGTGTCCTGCAATTTCCTTTGATAAAAAAACTTTAATGTGCCTTCCTTATCCATTGAGAGGCTAAATAATCTAGGAAAATCATTTCTCAAACTTCTACCATTAAACCACCTATCAGTCCAAAACTGTATCATCTCCCCATATCCAATGACAAGTTTGAAGTTTTGTTCAAACAACTCAGCCACAGCAATATTTGATGAAACAAAGGATACAATCCCTTTCCACACTGCAGACACCATAGCAGATTCCATTGTTTCAAGTATCTACCTTCCCCCAAATCTACTATATTTGCTACACACCACTTGTTTCCATAATGACTTTTTCTCTCTACCATACCTCCACCACCATTTTAATAATAAACGAACATTAACATCACTCAGATTTCTCACACCCAATCCTCCTTGGGCTTTTTCTTTACACACCTCCTTTCAATTTACCAAATGAATTTTCCTGCTAGTCTCAGAATCTCCCCACAAAAAGCTAGACTGAATCTTATCAATAGTTTTGGCAACTCCCATTGGCATTTTAAATAATGAAAGAAAGAACAAAGGAAGGCTTGACAAAATCGATCTAATCAAGGTCAAATGACCAACAAAGGACAAATACCTCCTCTTCCATTATGCTAGTTTCTTCTTAAATTTTTCCATCACAGGTTGCCATGTACTTCAACTCCTTGGATTTGCACTTAATGGTAGACCAAGATAGGCAAGTGGTAATCTCTGACAAAGACAATTGAGTTTTGTGGCGAACTCCATAACCCTCATCTCTTCCACACCAATCCCACATACAGTACTTTTGTGAAAATTAATCTTTAAACATGACATTACTTCAAAGCACCTCAGTATTCGTTTAATCATAATAATTTCCTCCCATTCAGCTTCACAAAAAATGATAATGTCATCCGCAAATTGTAAATGAGAAATCTTCAACGCATTAGGTCCAACTGAAGCTCCTCGTATCAGCCCCCTTTCTTTTGCTCTCTCCAGTAAGAGACTTAATCCTTCAGCCACAATATTAAAGAGGAAAGGTAAGAGTGGATCACCATGCCTTAACCCCTTTTGAGGAGAAAATTCTTCAGTGGGTGACCCATTAACAAGTACTGATATCCTTGATGTAGAAATACATGACTTAATCCACCTCACCTATTTCTCTTCAAAACTAAGATTAACCATCATTAATAATAGAAACTTCCAATTCACTGAATCATAAGCCTTCTCAAAATCCAATATAAGAATGATTCTTGTTTTCTTTGTTTTCCTCCACCAGTGCACTACTTCATTGCCAATTAAAACCCCATCAAGAATTAATACATCTTCCACCAAGAAAAGCAGTCCGAACTTCTCTTATGAGTTGAGGTAACACTTGTCTTAGCCATCTAGATAGCATTTTAGCCAACACTTTGTACACTAAGCTAGCCAAACAAATAGGTCTATTCTCACCCAAATCTGTGGGGTTTTTCATTTTAGGAATCAAAGTGATAAACGAGCTATTGACCCCTTTAGCCATCTTCCCATTACTGTGAACCTCTTTGAAAAATTGAAGAAACTCACATTTCATTACAGACCAACATTTTTAATACAAGATAGATTGAACCCATCGGGCCCAGGGGCCTTATTTCCATCACAATCTCAAATGGCTGCCCAAATTTCTACCTCACTAAACTCAGCCTCCAAAACATCCTTTGTATCAGCTGGACTGATAGATAGAAAGGGACCTGACAGTTTAGGCCTAAACTTCCAGTTTTCAATAAACACTCTACTAAAGTGATTCACAACCACTTGCCTCACCATAGTTGGATTTTCAAACACCACATCATTCACCTTTACAGAGCCTAATAAATTTTTCCTCTGTCTTCTACTTGCCATCAAGTGGAACAATCGAGTATTTTTATCACCATTTTGTGCCAATTTCAGTCTTGATTTTTGTAACCACATTCTCGCCTTACATCTACTTAGACTCCACACTTGACTTCTAATCTCTCGTTTTCTTTTCAATTCTGTCTCCAACAGAGATCTAGATTTAGCTTTCAAATCCCACTCATGCAATTGATTTTCAGCTTTCTTGAGTTGATCATCAATATTCCCAAATACCTCTCTATTCCACTTTCTCAAATGTTCCCTCAAGATCCTCAATTTACACATGATTCTAAAGCTGGCCCATCCTAGAAGCTGAGACTCCTCCCAAGATTTTTTCACCTCTATCTTGAATTTTGAGTGAAGTGTCCATGCATTAATAAACCGAAAAGGTTTTTGCCCTCAATCCCTTTCATCCTCCATTAGCAAAACTGGGCAGTGATCAGATATGCTTCTGGTTAATCCCCATTGTTTCAGTTGAAATCTCTCCAGCCACACAGGGTCAACTAGAAACCTGTCAATTCTACTCCACCTATCTCCTTCCATTGCATTACACCAGGTGAATGATCTTGCTTACATAGGTAAATCACTTAATTCCAATCTATCAATAAACTCATTAAAGTCTTTCATCCCCCTTTCCCTCCTCGAACATCCCTTCCTTTCACTCATAAATCTTATTTCATTAAAATCTCCACCTAAAGACCATAGGTTGGGATAAGAAGATTTAAGCTGAATAAGACTCTACATACCCACATTTTATCTTGTGAATGAAGAGAAGATCACTGTGTATCTTGAAACTCATTGTATATACAAGTGTATATATACATATATTTATGTACAGACATATTCATATGACGTTTTTATATATATAATACATATAATGGATATGGATAGAGGAAGAAGAAGAGAAGGAAGAGAGAGTTCACTGTGTATAAACATATACATACATATATATATATATATATATATCTTTGATAGGGTTGTATATGATTAGAAAAATGATCTGAACTGGGTTTGGATTTGTCTACAACAAAATGATCTGAAAATCAATGTAAGAGATGCCGAATAAACCAACCAAGTGATCTAAAAAATGATCTGCTATTTTGGACTTTTGAGCATGAAACATTCCATTTTTCTTCCACAGTCTGCTTCATGGTTTAGCAGACAAACAACCGCTCTATTTAGCTACAAAACACACTAGTTTGTCTTCCAAAGTATGTATTTGTGTATGATGAAGAAAAAGTTTGGGCAGTAAACTGTGAACTAGGTTTGATATGTATATATGCATATGTATGTATAAAATGTGGGTATGGAGAAAGATGAAGGGAAAGGAGAGAGAGAGAGAGAGAGAGAGAGAGAAAGAGAGGGAGAATAAGGGTATAACTATCAATTTATAATTTTTGTTAACAAAAGTTAGTGTGCATTTCAATCTACAAACCACGTGGGGGTTATATGATGATTTTCGAATATTATGGAGGTAAATCACACCCAATCCAAACCACAGGGAGGTAAAGTGAAGTTAGCCCATCTGTCCAAATTTTGAACATATTTTATTATCTATTCAAATTTTAAATAGATAATAGGATTTCAACAAATAAGATAATAAGATCTATTCAAATTTGTTGCAATATGTTTTTTCTTCATCTTAAACAGATAATAGGATTTGAACAGATAAGATAATAAGATTTGTTCAAATTTGTTGCAATCTATTTCTTCATTATCACCATCAACAACAACAATTAGATCTAAGAAAAAAAAAAAAGGAATCTAATACAGATCTATATGTACACAACCACAAGCATATATAGATCTGTCAAATTAGACCAAAGTGTGAGAGTTTTTTAAAAAGAGAGACTAGAAATAGAAGGTCGTAGCTGATAACTTTTCACTTGACTGCTTCTGCAACGCAATTTGAGCTTGAAACGCCACCCCGATCTCTGACCATCACGACTAGATCTTTTAGATCTCCGTGATAGTGGTGGAGCCACTTCGATGTGACGACGCGTGGAGTTTACATTGCCGAAGATGCGATAACTAGTTCGAATTCGAAGATTAGATGAATGAAAGAGACGAGGCAGGTTAAAAGTTGGAGGTGGCGGAGATTAAGACAAAGGAGGCAACAAATATGAGGAGGTTAGAGAAAGTTAAGGTGTCACCATTAGAGACAACGACGACAACGGATGTGGTGGTGAGAGAGATGGAGAAAAGATGTAGAGAGAGATCTGAAGAACACTAGTGTAGACAAAGGCGACTTAGGTGACTATTTAAAAAGAAGGCAATAAAACCAAGAACAAATAGTTAGAAAAAAGAGAATTTAAAACTTGCAAATAATTATGAAAATAAATGTCATCCCGACACTTCTTCGTCATATACTTTTCGGTCACAAGTGATCATTTTGAGATTGTCATCCCATCCAAACCTACTCTTTCTATAACAAAGTTCGGTAATAACGTTCCACATGAATTTGACAGTTTTGAGACAGTTTTCTACATCATTAGATTGGCATTCAGTTCCAAATTTCTCATTAATTTCTTTGGCTACTCGAGCAAATGATCCCGGTTTAAATGTATTGGATGGTTTATGTCCTTTGTTAGCCTCTTCAAAAGTATCTCAAGCAACATAGTCTGCATAGGTTTTAACCATCTAAAATTCTTGCTTTTGCTATCTTTCTCCTTTTCTTTTTTTTGATGCCATTGCTACAGTGTCAATCAAAAGCACAACTCAATAACATAAACTTCAATCATAAATCTCTGCTGTATATATAGTTAGTTCTTATTTTCTTAATATGACATACTTGAGTGAATTCTACTGCTGATATAGAGGATATGAATTAATTTTCTTAACATGTAATATATATATATATATATAATAGCTAGCTCCATGTTATAGATTCATTATGATACCATTCAACACAACCACACAATTCAACAGATAAGTGGCATGCAGCAACATGCTCCTTCATGAGACAATCCCAAATTCCAATAATACTACAAGATGTGAATATTGATAATCCCAGCAGAACCATTTAAATTTTGTAAAAACAACAAATAAAACACATCATGATCCAATGCCACAATAACTAATAAATATTGAAGTAATACCAATAGTTCAAAACAATCTAAGTAAACAGTGCCAACTCCAATACAAAAAAAATAAATAAATAAAACATAAAAAATTATCTGTTTCACCTAGCAATGTAATCTTGCAAAAAACGCAAGAAATTCGTACACCTAGGCTATTGAGACTTGTTCATAGTTGAAGTCGTGCCTAAAAATACATGCATCAGTGCATTTTTTATGCGTCTCACCTCAAATGCATTTTTGTTGCGTCTCACCTCAATACACACCTCAAGTACGTCTTGAAAACTTTAGGTAGAACAAAATCAGACATGACAAGGTATCCAAAAATAAACCATGGAAGCTCGAAAAAAGGTTTTAGGGCACAAAAGATTACTTTTCCAGACTTTACGCTCCGTTTATTTGAACAGAAAACATTTTCAAGAGGGAAACATTTTTCTGCAGAAAACCTGTTCCAAAAAATTGATTTGTTTTCTTGTGTTTGGTTGGACTTGAAAATGTTTTCCGGGAAACATTTTCCATTGTTTGGTTCAACTATAAAATGATTTAGAACGAATAACACTAACAGTCCTCATAGTTTAGGACTTGTGTCAATAAAGTGAAAACAAAAATTTAAACCAAAAAAAAAAAGTTAATAGGCCTTAATTCAGTGAAAACAAAAAAATTTAAACAAGCTAAAAGGAAACAAGCTAATAGGCCTTAATTCATAGCCAAGTACAAATTTAAACAACTAATTTCTAGCATTTTTCCAAAGAAACCTTCCAACCCTATTTTTCCAAGCCTAACACTCTTGATCATGAATGCCTTTGCTACATTTTCATTTTCAACCAAAAAATCAAATGCTGGGCAAGCATAAATTCATCATATCCTTGCATCTTCATAACTTCATAAAGATCATTGACATTAACTTGATCCTCCATCAATTTTTTTATTGCTGAAGCAGCTTCTCCAATTTGTTTGGATAACTTGTAATAGCTATCATCTTGATCACGGTGATTCCTTTTATGAGGCCTTGCTTCAGATGAAATTTCACTTGAAGAAGTAACATATTTCCTTTTTGCTACATCTTCCACATCAATGCCAAAATCAATTGATTCAGCAATTTTCACTTCAGCATCTATGTCAACAAAAGACTTCACAAAGTTCCCTGTTGCCATATCTGTACCAACGACTACAGCCGTCTCATCATAAAACTCAATTTTCTTGTTCAAATATTGCTGATATTCAGGACGTGCCTATTTAAAAAGAAGGCAATAAAACCAAGTACAAATGGTTAGAAAAAAGAGAATTTGAAACTTGCAAAGAATTATGAAAATAAATGTCATCCCGACACTTCTTCGTCATATACTTTTCGGTCACAAGTGATCATTTTGAGATTGTCATCCCATCCAAACCTACTCTTTCTATAACAAAGTTCGGTAATAACGTTCCACATGAATTTGACAGTTTTGAGACAGTTTTCTACATCATTAGATTGGCATTCAGTTCCAAATTTCTCATTAATTTCTTTGGCTACTCGAGCAAATGATCCCGGTTTAAATGTATTGGATGGTTTATGTCCTTTGTTAGCCTCTTCAAAAGTATCTCAAGCAACATAGTCTGCATAGGTTTTAACCATCTAAAATTCTTGCTTTTGCTATCTTTCTCCTTTTCTTTTTTTGATGCCATTGCTACAGTGTCAATCAAAAGCACAACTCAATAACATAAACTTCAATCATAAATCTCTGCTGTATATATAGTTAGTTCTTATTTTCTTAATATGACATACTTGAGTGAATTCTACTGCTGATATAGAGGATATGAATTAATTTTCTTAACATGTAATATATATATATATATATAATAGCTAGCTCCATGTTATAGATTCATCATGATACCATTCAACACAACCACACAATTCAACAGATAAGTGGCATGCAGCAACATGCTCCTTCATGAGACAATCCCAAATTCCAATAATACTACAAGATGTGAATATTGATAATCCCAGCAGAACCATTTAAATTTTGTAAAAACAACAAATAAAACACATCATGATCCAATGCCACAATAACTAATAAATATTGAAGTAATACCAATAGTTCAAAACAATCTAAGTAAACAGTGCCAACTCCAATACAAAAAAAATAAATAAATAAAACATAAAAAATTATCTGTTTCACCTAGCAATATAATCTTCCCACATGCAATGACAAATCTCATCCCTTTTCATTACCCATTCTCTATTTTCTTCCCCAACTTCCCTTTGTGACTGTTGAACTCTTTGATTTAGATTTCCAAGCCGCATATCATTATTTACTTCTTCCATAATTGAGTCCATAGGATCAATCCCCATTATATAATTGTGAATGACACAACATGCTAAAATGACATCTACTTGTGTCTTGAATGGTCAATATGGTTCTGCATCCAACACACGAAAACGCTTCTTCAAAACTCCAAAACATCGCTCAATAGTGGTTCGTCATGAAGAATGACGAAGATTGAATAGTTCCTTCTCATTTTGTGGTTGATGACCACTAAACTCTTTCAAATGGTATCTAACACCACGATAGGAGGAGATAATTCCTTTTCCAATTCCATAACCGGCATCACCAAGATAATATTTACCTACAAAGTTGCAATGAAATAAAAATTACTAGTGACTACTATTAATCGACAATTAAAAAACGCTTTTTAATCTTATAATACCTTCAGGAATTTTAAATCCCCCCGACCTAGTGAGTGCATCATTTAGAACATGTGAATCATGTGCACTTCCCAACCAGCTAATACATATGTGAATTTCAAGTCGGAGGTAATGGCAGCTAAGATATTTTGTGGTGTTCCATATTTTCGGCCACGAAACCTTCCTTGCATTGCAATGGGAACAGTTGCATGAACAAGAGTTCCATCTAGTGCTCCGACACAATCCTAACAATGACAAGCCCAAGATATGTTTTCTTAAAATCAACCACGCAAAAAAGAAAGAATCTAAAATATCTAATACTTGCCTTCAAGTATGGGTAAACCTGTTGTGGTTCCGTATTTCTAGGGGTGTTTCATTGTCAGAGAGTTTGACCACGTATTTGTATAGTGACAGAATAGCTCGAAGGACAGCTCTAAAGTATCGGTGTATAGTCTCATTCGATCTATAAAGCCTTCCACCTATCGTTCAAAACCTCATATTAAACCCAATGATTTGTAAAAAGATTAACACTTGTTCCGTAATGGAAATGTGGATGGTTTCTTGTAGTAAGTTCTTCTCGGCAAAAATTCTACATAGCTTAAAAAAGCAGAAGGCCTCATCCTTATCTGATCCACACATTTAAGATCACCACTATAAAGAATGCTATTATTGTAAATTTATCTTTAAAACTCTCGATTGATGCAAGGTTCCCTAAGTATAAAATTCCTACATCTATCATCTTTCAAGACTACAATACCCACAGCAATAATAGATGCAGCTGCGCCCATAATTGCTGCTTCAATTTGTTTGTTATCCATCTACATAACAAAACACAATTTAAAGAGTAACAAATCAATTAAACCATTAAAAAAACATGAAAGCCTAATATATATCTATACATATATAGACAACAACAAAAAATATTGGTTGTCATTGTTCTATTCAAACAAGCACTGTTCTGTTATTGTTCTATTCAAACACTCAATGCTGAGACTTAAAAACTTTTAAATACTAGTTGAAAGTGTTTGGAGATGTGAATCCTTGCCTTGGATTTGGGAGGCATTTTAATTCAAAGCAGCACCAATTAGCTTGTAGAGCCAAAGAACATAATAAGAGCAATAAACGAGTCTAATATTCAAGCTTGAGCTCGGCTTGTTTACTAAACGAGCTGAGCCAAGTCAAGCTTGTTCATGAACAGCTCGGTTTATTTGCAGTCCTAGAAGCAAGAGGTGATTGTATGAAACAGAGTGTTCAATAAAGATAGATTCATAGAACCATAAATAGGAACTCTATGGTTTACAGAACTAGTAATCAAAATATTTCTCCATTTTTTTGTATTTTTCATTTTCTTGCTGAATTATTGATAAAAATGTAATATGAAAATTGTAAAGAGAAGGAACCATAAAGGGAAGAATACTATTATTCATATGCAAATCAGATATGTTTTTCTGATTGTTGGTCTTGGAGGAAATATGGGCAAAAACCCATCAAAAGGGTCTCTCTCTATCTCTCTCTGTGGCTAAATTTTAACAACAAACGTTAGTCCTTCTAAACTAATTAAACTAAATTATTAGCAAGTCAAACCAAAAACCATCAAATCATAGACAAAAACTAATATCATATTATCTACAACCCAAATTTGAAAACTTAGGCTAATATTTTTTTTCCCTTACATTTAGCACCAAAATCAAGACTCCCAATGGCACAACAAGGCACGCATTCATATCTACTGACATTGAAGTGCCAAAAACAGAGCCATACTTGCATAAACTTAAAACCCACATCATATAAACAACCCATATACATACACTATACACACATGCATATGTAAACACCATAAGAATAATCTCTGCCTCTGGCATTTAAGCAAACACCATAAGCTCAATTCATCAATTTCCTCAGTAACCAAACAGAACATTAAAAATTAAAAAAAAAATTAAAAAAATAAAAATCGAATTCAGCATCAATTCATCCAAGATCCAAATACCCAAAAGAAATAACACATCTGGAAAAAGCAATTGCCCAGAAATCATCCATAGAAAACCAACGGCAATCATGTTTAACATAGGTATAGAAAAACATAATGATCTGAAAGCAAACCAACCATAGAAATCAATTACATATCTCAACAACAGCCAAAACATATAGATCTGTAACAAAATTTTAAGAAAATCACAACATATCTACAATAGTTACTAGAAAATTGTACCTGGGAGGGTTGGTTCGTAGATTTGAAAGTAAATCAATGCTATCTACAAAATGAGAGCGAGAAAGAGTGAGAGAAATACCAGATAGAGAGAAAAGATGAAGAAAAAGAGTAAGAGAAAGAAGATGAAGACAAAGAGCGAGAGAGAGAGAGACCAGAGAGAGAGAGAGAGAAACGAAGTGGCAGAGAGAGAGAGAGCACATACCGCTGGAACGAGAACCTCAGTGCTGCTTGACAAATTGATCGACTTCTGGAAAATGTTTTCCGGTTTAAAAAAAAGGAAAACATTTTCTTTCGTTGACTCTTATTTTCAGTTGTACCAAACTTCAAAAAAATGTGGAAAACATTTGCCCAGCAAAGAGAGCCAACATGAATTTCTGTTTCAAATGTTTTAGAAAGGTCATTCCAAACTCGCATAATCAAAATTTTTATCAAATTTGAGTAAAAAAATAATTTTTTTCTCAATATGATATCGAGTGTTCCAACTGTTGATTTTCATCAAATCTGTTCCGAGATAACCGGTTGGTCGACCGGTTAAGTCAAATTTTTTTTTTTTTAAACTGTTTCAACCTTTTAGTGGTCAATCGTTAAGACAAAATTTTTTTTTTTTTTTTTCAACTGTTTGAACTTTTTTTGGAACTGTTTGAACCTTTTGGTGGTCGACCGGTTGGTCAACCGACCGATCAACCGGCTGGTCGACCAGTTGGTCTCCTCCAACGGTCATGCACAGTGTTTTGGTGAAATGCGGAGTCAGTCCTCCTTTTCGTGAAACGTTTGGTGAATTCTCGATTTGATATCAATTTAGTAAAACCGTTGGAGCTCCAAACAGTGCTTTTTTCACCAAATTTCAAATTTGATACTAGATTTGGTGAAGGGTTAGAGATGGTCTAAAGCAATACAAACCAAAGATTTTGGAGTTATGTATTTATTTATTTTTGGAAAAATTAAAAATCAGTGAAAACTTTTTAAAAAATTTAACATTTTAATTATTAAAGTTTATAGCCAGGAGATTTCTGACTTCAGCATCAACAAAGTCAACCACATCAACCCCTTTTCTATTCACCGCAGAGTTTTCAACCAAATTCAACTTTTAATCAAATTCTACATCCTCCGCTTCATTGACAAGGTTTGCCTTGACAGCAAAGTCCTCTTCCAAGCGTTAGGATCCTCTGGAGTGATTTCTCTAGAGTGATTTTCTAAAGTGACTGAGATGGGCTCGACATGTATCCCACTAATAGAATTAAGGGTTAAGATCAATTCCTCACCAAAACGACATCGTTTTGGTGGGGGAATTTCAAAATAAATAAATAAATAAAAATCAAATGTCTGGGTTCACTTTCACTCTATTCTGGGGAGAGTTAGAGAGAGAGAAGGGACCAAAGCTTTGATTTTGTTTTGTTCTTTCCTTGTTCTTTCATATCCTCTTGAAATCTCACAGTTGAATAATAGTGATGGTTGGCTTTCTGATAAGGCCTTGAAGGGGGGAGATCTGTTCAAGTCAGCCCTTGATGATGATAATGAAAACAGCCCTTGTTCAAGTCAGCCCTGTTACAGGCATGGCTTCGCCGTTGCTGCGGAGATCTGAAAGACCTCCTCCGCCGATCTCCACGTTCATTGACCGGATCTGCTAATTATGTTGCTCATTTTGATTTTGATGATGATGATGATGATGATATGGGGTCTGTAAGTATACATATGCATATATAAATACATACTCTCATTTTGATTTTGATGATGATATATGTAAATATACATATATGCATATAGAAATACATATCTAAATCAATCTTTTGATGATGATGATGATGATACAAATCTGAATCAGTCTTATTATCGACGAATCGATTTAATCTTTTGAAGTCTCTTTCTCATTTTGTTCACGTTTTTTCTTTAATCTTTTGATAATAATGATGATAGATATCTGAATCAATTTTATTATTGAATCGATTTGATCTTCTTTTTTATTTATTTAAATCTCATAGATCAAAATCCATGATAATGATACAATTTGAAGCCTCTTTCTCATTCTGTTCACATTTTTTCTTCAATCTTTTGATGATGATGATACAAATCTGAATCAATCTTATTATCGAATCAATTTAATCTTCTTTTTTTTATTTATTTTGATTTCACAGATCAAAATCCATGATGATGGTATAGTCTGCAGCTTCTTTCTCATTCTGTTTTCTTTTTTCATTTATTTATTTATTTATTTATTTTTTTAATTTCCCCCACCAAAACGACGTTGTTTTAGTAAGGATTAATCTCAACCCTTGATTCCATTAGTGGGACACGTGTCGGGTCCATCTCATTCACTCTAGGAGATCACTTTAGGAGGATCACTCTAGAGGATCCTAACGCCTCTTCCAAGTCCTCATCATTAGAACCAAAGCGAGACAATTCACTATCATCAAGCAATGCAACTGCTTCAGGATAAACTGCTTTCTGAATCCTAACACCTACAGTCCTTGATGCTACATTATAAATTGACTTCTTGTTCGAATCATCATTCACACCAGGAATTTCTACTCTTGAAGCATCATATGCCTAAAAAACAAAAACAGTAGTATTGTCACAAAGTATCCTCACAATAAAAAAAAATCTAACAAAACCACCATTCATGTCTAGCAAAGAAAGGCTTCTATGTCACAGCATATTAGTTATTGTGTTCAGATTCACAACAAATAAAAAATAAATAAGAACAATTGGAAACATAAAGAACTCAAGACTTCTCTTTTCTTTTCTTGCAATTTCTTTATAACCAAACAAAGGCATGAAAAACGAACCTTTACATCAAGTGGAAGCTGATCGAGCTTCGCTTTACTATTATGGTAATAAGCCGAACCACCACCAGTGTTCTTAATCTCTCTCAAATGAATCAAATAGTTATAATCGTCATCGGGAAACCCTAACTCCAAAATCTCCCTCCTTATATGATCCGGTAACACCGCTCAAATCTGCTTTCGCAAATCTCTGCCGCCATCTTCATCATGACAATCATCCGGAGCATCAGTGAACATTGAGTTAGGATCATTGTTGGCAAATTGGCCATCTTCATCTCCTTCGAAGAAGGTATCGGCTGAGTAAGAATTGTTGTCGACTCTAACAAAAATTCAATAGCCCAAAGGTCCATCGGTGTAGTTTTTGGATCAAAGGAGTCTTGAGCGAGGAGTTGAAAAGTAGCCGACTGTTTCTTGTTGATGAATTTCTTCCTGTTACCCATTTTCAACGATGGAACTTCTCTAGAGAGAGAAAGTTCCACAAAGAGAGATGGGTTCTGTAATGAAGGAGTAATATCTAAAACCCTAAATCACAGAGCACTGATCATGACACGTGGCAATCAAGGTTTAAAAAGAAAAAATAATGTTATGTTGTCAGGTGATTTTTCAGTAGTGTCGGAGTATGAACAAGTGGTACTCCATGGTATTGTAATTCAACTTGGGCAGGCTATTGTGTATGGTGCGCAACATGTGACAGCTTGTTTCAAATGACCGCTCAAGTGGCGAAAAGAATGCTCGAGCAGAGATCAGGTTCTCCCAATAGTTTGTCTTGCAGGCTTAGGAACCGCTCGAACGAACAAGTGGTCGCTTGAGTGAAGATCACGAGCTTCCAGTATCTTATTTTGCAGACAGAGATACTAAGAAGTATCGTTTACCACTCGAGCGATGAAAAGATCGCTCAAGCAAGGCACTTTTTAGATCATTTCTTTTACTTTCCTCTCTCTCTCTCTAAGTTCGAAAACCCTACATTTCTCTCTCTACATATCTCTCATTTCACTAAGTTTCAAGCCAAAATCACTTGCAAGAAGTGGAGTCTACCTACGGATCTTCCTTTCTACCGATTGGAATTGGATTATACGAAGGATTTTTCCAAAATAGTCTAGTTTTCTTGCTCTTCCTTGAGGTAGGGTTACTTTTAACTTAATATCTCTTTATTTTGAGGATGATTATATGATATCGTTGTGATTATAATACTTTATTTGATGATTGAGCCAAAACCAAGTTTTATATTTAACACAAAGGGATTTCACCCAAAATTTCTTAAAATTTCAAATAAATCCTTATGAACTAGGAGCATCGGTGTTGAGAACTATCACATATATGAAGAGGGGTAAAAGCCCCAAATTTGTTAGAACCCTAATTTTTGATTTGGGAAAATATGATGCTTGGATTGAATTGGGGTTGTTTGGGGTGTCCTAAATAAGTGCACTTTTTGTTTTTTGGACTAAAAAGTTAAGAAACAAAATTTGGATGTTTGAGTTAACTTTTTGACTTTTTATGAAAAAATGTGTATTAAAAAATTGTGTAAAGAAGTGTGTAGGAGAAGATATGTAGTACGCCGTACGGATGAGAACATTACAATCGGCTTGGTGAATACATGGGGAAAGATTGCCTCCTTTTCGAGCTTTGATTGGACGGTGTTGTTCGGCTCGTGAGGGGCCACCACGGGTCTCGTTTTTCTAATCGGAACCATTGAATGTGTAGAACTCGTCGAGTACTATATGCTTATAAAAAATCACGTTGATTGGATATCGATAGCTATCTGATCGTGTTAGTTTTTTTGTCAACTGTTAACTATAATACCATCCAATTTTTATACAAAACTAATTTGATCATATAGTTAGCGATATCCGATAGACATGATTTTTTACAAGCATATAGTACTCGACGAGTTCTACATATTAAATGGTTCAGATTATCAAAACAAGACCCATGGTGGACCCCCACAGGCCTAACTTTACCATTCATGGCTTGAATGTACACGTGTTTTTTTTTATTTTTTTTTCCTTTCATTGCAGGTGGCTGACATCAGTACGTTGATGGGTGGGAAAAGTTGAACTTTTATATTAATTTACCATTCAAATTAATATTTGTATTTTAATTTTTTTATATTTTTTTTGGTGAATAGTAATAACTTTTTAACTTTTTTGGTAACTTTTTATCTTTTTTTGGACTTGCCAAACCTGCCCTAAATTTAAAATCTTGGATTGTGTGGACAATTAGAGTTTGGACTCCGTTATTAATGTGTTTTGAGTTGAGATTGTGGACTTAGAAATTGATAACCCATGTATTCTATTTTCGCTATTCATGTCATGGTTTCTTGAACACTTAATTACTTGGAATGTTGTAAAACGGGGGAGGTAAATAGAGTATGAGTCCGGGTAGGGAATCGATTTTTGGGAACAATGTGTCGTGTTGGTACACGTGTGGGGAGTTAAGGTGCCCAATTGCCTTATCTTAAGTTTATCGTCGGACGAATGTGAGAAAATATTTTTGGGTGTCCACTAGTCCTATTGTATAATAG